TGATCTCACCTACAAGAAAAAATGATAGCCTCCATTGAAGTGGGAGGTTACAATTTTTCTTTTAGGAGAAATGCATGAACAGTTCCACGACGTCATCTCATTTTTAAGTGTCAGTAACACAGAAGTGGACAGACAGGAATGATCATCGCTCTGTGACATATGTGGAAACTGAGACTTACCCTCATTGCTAAGCTGTTAAGCCCATGGTGCGGCCAGGCCGGGAGCCCCAGTTTCTGTCCCGGAAGCCCATACCTTCCCATCACCCCACCTCGCTTCCCTGGATCCTGGCTGAGAGTCAGAGCAGATGTGCACAGCAGGAGAGGACAGACCCCTGCGGGCTCCCAGAAGACTAATTCACAGCACATGTCCTGATGGCCACGGGGCCTTGCCATCTTCACATGGGAGAGAACTTGGAATGCAGAAATGACGTCTTGGTGACCGACCGACACTGACTTGGAGCTTGGAATGTGGACATATTGGAGAGGGAGGCAGCAAACAGTATGTTCTAGAATCTCAAGAGAAAAAGTGCGTGGTGAGGGCAGAAAGGAGGGGGGAGAAGATGTGACAAGTCCCAGAAGTTCCCACGCCCATTGCTCTCCACCCCCCCCCAGGAGCCACCTGGCTGTCCCCAGACACAACTGACAGTGTCTTTTCTTGAGGCTCTTGGGCAAGCTGCCTTTCCATCCAAAATGTCACTTCCCGACACAATGCCTGCCTGCGCATCTCCGCAGCTTCCATTCAGTGCCGCCTTTCAGGGAACACGGGGACTGGAGCCTCTTCACGGGGACTGGAGTCTCTCCTTCCATTCCCACCTCAACCCCTCCCAGGCATTGCCGGAGGGGGAGAGCCAGAGTCTCATATACATGTGGGGGAGACCCACCAGAGAGGGTGCACGGAGAGCCCGACTGCCCTGGCCAGTCCCGGAGCATGTCACCTGACATCCCCAGACCTCAAGTCTCAGTGAGGCTGCACTCACAGCCGGCAGGTGTCAACGGGAGGATGCTCAGGCCCCTTTGGATTTCGTTTTTCAAAGTAAGTGCATGAATTAGTTCATTTTTAATATCCACTCTAGTTCACAACTGTGGCTTAAATATGGAAGGGGCCGGGCTCAGTGGCTCAGCCTGTAATCTCAGCACTTTGGAAGGCCAAGGCAAGTGGATTACCTGAGCCTGAGGGTTCAAGACCCACTCCAGCAACTTGGTGAGACCTCGTCTCTATAATAAACCAAAAATTAGCCGGGCATGGTAGCATGCACCTGTGGTTCCAGCTACTTGGAAGGCTGAGGCGAAAGGATCGCTGGAGCCCAGCAGATCGAGGCTGCGGTGGCCGGGAGCGGCCACTGCACTCCAGTCTGGGTGACAGAGTGAGACTCCAACTCAAAAAAGAAGAGAACAGAAACCAAACACACCATTTTGCCGGGCTCAGTGGCTCAGCCTATAATCCTGTGCTTTGGGAGGCTGAGGTGAGTGGATTACCTGAGCCTGAGGGTTCAAGACCCACTCCAGCAACTTGGTGAGACCTCGTCTCTATAATAAACCAAAAATTAGCCGGGCATGGTAGCATGCACCTGTGGTTCCAGCTACTTGGAAGGCTGAGGCGAAAGGATCGCTGGAGCCCAGCAGATCGAGGCTGCGGTGGCCGGGAGCGGCCACTGCACTCCAGTCTGGGTGACAGAGTGAGACTCCAACTCAAAAAAGAAGAGAACAGAAACCAAACACACCATTTTGCCGGGCTCAGTGGCTCAGCCTATAATCCTGTGCTTTGGGAGGCTGAGGTGAGTGGATTACCTGAGCCTGAGGGTTCAAGACCCACTCCAGCAACTTGGTGAGACCTCGTCTCTATAATAAACCAAAAATTAGCCGGGCATGGTAGCATGCACCTGTGGTTCCAGCTACTTGGAAGGCTGAGGCGAAAGGATCGCTGGAGCCCAGCAGATCGAGGCTGCGGTGGCCGGGAGCGGCCACTGCACTCCAGTCTGGGTGACAGAGTGAGACTCCAACTCAAAAAAGAAGAGAACAGAAACCAAACACACCATTTTGCCGGGCTCAGTGGCTCAGCCTATAATCCTGTGCTTTGGGAGGCTGAGGTGAGTGGATTACCTGAGCCTGAGGGTTCAAGACCCACTCCAGCAACTTGGTGAGACCTCGTCTCTATAATAAACCAAAAATTAGCCGGGCATGGTAGCATGCACCTGTGGTTCCAGCTACTTGGAAGGCTGAGGCGAAAGGATCGCTGGAGCCCAGCAGATCGAGGCTGCGGTGGCCGGGAGCGGCCACTGCACTCCAGTCTGGGTGACAGAGTGAGACTCCAACTCAAAAAAGAAGAGAACAGAAACCAAACACACCATTTTGCCGGGCTCAGTGGCTCAGCCTATAATCCTGTGCTTTGGGAGGCTGAGGTGAGTGGATTACCTGAGCCTGAGGGTTCAAGACCCACTCCAGCAACTTGGTGAGACCTCGTCTCTATAATAAACCAAAAATTAGCCGGGCATGGTAGCATGCACCTGTGGTTCCAGCTACTTGGAAGGCTGAGGCGAAAGGATCGCTGGAGCCCAGCAGATCGAGGCTGCGGTGGCCGGGAGCGGCCACTGCACTCCAGTCTAGGCGACAGAGTGAGACTCCAGCTGAAACAAACAAACAAACAAATATGGAAGGAACCTCTTTTTATGTACAACAAATGTACATAAAAAGTCATGGGAGAAGGTGACCTCAGCTTGTGAAACTTGTGAACATTTCAGCGATCTCGCTCTGGCAAGAACACCCTTAATTCAGCTTTTTCAGATGTTAAGCAAAACTGACAGCCATTTGTGCTGTTTGTTTGAAAAATTTTTTTTGAGTCAAGAATCTTTTTCTAGGTTCAGCTATTTCCTTAATGCAATTACTATTTCTCATGGAATTTCATGCAGAAGTGCTGGGGACATCTAGGGTCTGGGTGTCCGTGGAATGCATCCACATGGCAAGAACTTCAGGAAGGCCAGTGGAACCCTGCCCCATCCAGGGGTTCAGATCTCTTCTGGCCTGGTACTTCCTCTGTGCAATTCTCAGAACATGTGTGTGCACGTTTGCTCATGTGTTCACACCTTTGAACATGTGTGTGCTCATGGCCATATGTATATACACACCTTTGAGCACCTTTGGGTATGTGTTCATGTGAGTTCATGCATACACTCCTGAGCACACACTTTTGAACGCGTGTGTGCATATATGTTTATGCATATATACCTTTGAATATGTGTGTGCAGGGGATACTCATGATACATACATACCTCTAAACATATGTGTGCACATATGCTCATACATATACACCTTTGAATGGGTATGTGCATGTGTGCTCATCATACATACCTTTGAACGTATGTACACTTGTGCTCATGATTCACACACACTTTTGAATGTGAGTGTGCATATGTGCTCGTGCATAGACACTTTGAACATGTGTGTGCACGGGTACTCATGTATATACATTTTGGAATGTATATGCTTGGAATGTATATGCTTTGGAACGTATATGCTCATCATACATACCTTTGAACATGCATAGGCATATATGTATGTACACAGACACCTTTGAATTCGAGTGTTTGGGATGCTCATATGTAGACATCTTTGAATGCGTGTGTGCTCATGGGCTCTTCATATGTACCTTTCACTTCTCACCTTCATTCTTAGAGGAGTTTAAGTAGGGGAGATAAAAGAACACCTTGCGAGTTCACACTGTTGCTTTAGTATGTTTCTTCAGTTGTGTATATTGTTAGAGGAAACCTCCAGCAAGGTTTCCTCTAGTGTGTGGCTGCCACCCCGTGTGGCTGCCCCAGGACAGTGCCTGTGGGTCCTGGGGTCTACCACCCACCTGTATCTCCCAGTCCTGGCAGAGCCGGTGATATGGGGCTGCCCCAGGGTATTTCACCAACTGCTAGAGGTCTCCTTGGCAGGTGTTTTCTGTAACACACGCATTCAGAGCACAAAGCTGCCTTTCTGCAACTCTCCTCAAGACCTTCAGTCACACTGCTCTCAACGTAGGCAAGAGCCTGGGACTGTGAAATGCATCCCCAGGACAGAGGGACAGCCAAGATCCCAGGTCCGGGGTGGGTCCTGCAAGAGGGACCCACGGGGAGTTCAGGAGCCGGCCTGCCGTGGGGCTGACCCAGCCGGGAATGGGAACATGACCTCAGGAGGCAGTGACCACCCTGAGTCTAGAATTCCAGAGGACCCGAGGCTATTGCGGGAGGGATGGAATGGGAGTGGTGTGCACCCTAGACGTTCATTTCTGATGTCAGAGCCAGCATGCCATATCCCAGCAGCCCTTCACCTCTGTGCTTTTGTGTCCTCATGGGGAAGGCAGACATGGCGGGACCTCTTTGTAGGGTGGTGAGTGTTCTAGCAAGTGGATGTGTATCAAGAGCTTAGAACAATGCCTGGTACAAGCGTGATGTGACTGGCAGCTGTTATTATTACCACCACTACTATGCTTATTATGGTTATTGTGATTCTCCTCACTGCCATGATGCAATCCAGTAAGGTCTACACAGTTACGTAGTGGCTAACAAACTTCAGCAGGGTACCTAGCAGCACTGACGTAGTGTTGTCTCATTTTGGGGCAGCAGAGATAACGTCTTTTCCTGTCTCTGGTGAGTGACAAGTACCTGTCTGTACACATGACTACTTTGTACCTTAAAAACGTTTGTGAGGACGACAGCCAGCAGGTTTGGATAAAGATGTTCTCTCACAAGGCCTGAGGCCTCTCAGAGGCTGGGTTTGCAACCCCTCACTGTTCCAAGGTGTGTCCTCCCAGCTATTCAGTCACTGTCTGGTCTTTGATTTAGCCCCGTGATTGTGCTCTGTGGCATCAGTGGATGTGGAGGACGAGGACTCCCATGGAAAATATTCAGGCGCAGTCGCGTGGGCAGGCGTGCTCATGGATGCCTGACGCCCTGAGCTGCAAGGGCAGGTGGGTACCAGCCATCAGCACTGGACCTCATGCTGTGTGTCCTCCCTCCTTAGATGACTACGCGCAGCTGTGCAATATCCCCGTGACGGGACGTCGGCGACCGTATGGACGGGATGCCCTGGTGGACTTCAGCGAACAGTACGCACCAGAAGCTGATCCCTACTTCATCCAAGACCGTAAGCAGAATTCTTCCTATACTTTAAGTTATGGCTGGAGGTTAACCTGTGATTCGCAACATGTGATCCCTGGCAGCTTATTAGAAATGCAGGTTTCAGGACCCACCCTGACCTCCTGATCAGGAAAGCAGGGGTGGGACCCAGCAGTCCGTTTCCCAAGCATTCTGGGCAGTCCCCTAAGAACCCCTGCGTTCGATGGTTAGTCTTGTTGGTGGGGTCACTGTCATGTTTGCTTCCCTTAAATAAAGAAAATGAGGCCAGCCTCTAATCCCACGCTTTGGAAGGCTGAGGCGGTAGGTCGCTTGAGCCCAGGAGTTCAAGACCAGCCTGGGCAACATAAGGAAACCTCATCTCTAGAAAAAATTTTAAAATTCTCCAGGTGTGGTGAAACACACCTGTGGTCCCAGCTACTTGGGAGGCGGAGGCAGGAGGATTGCTTGAGCCCAGGAGTTTGAGGCAGTGGTGAGGAGGCTGGGCTCAGTGGCTCGGCCTGTAATCCCAGCACTTTGGGAGGCGAGTGGATTGCCTGAGCCTGCGGGTTTGAGACCTGCCTGGGCAAGTTGGCAAGACCTGTCTCTACAATAATTCAAAAAATTAGCCAGGCGTGGCAGGGCACACCTGTAGTTCTGGCTACTTAGAATGCTGAGGTGGAAGGATCGCTGGAGCTCAGCAGATTGAGATGCGGTGGTCAGGAGCATGGCACTGCATTCCAGTCTGGGCGACAGAGTGAGACTCCAATTCAAAAAAAAAAAAAAAAAAAGAAGGAAAGAGAGAAAGTGATCTTATTGTTAGAATTCCCACAACAGAATCATTTTTTTTCACTTTAAGTGGTGGTCTCTAATTTGAGAATCAGGATTTCTTAGGGATTCCTTGAGAGCCTGGTTGTATGGTGGCCTTTTTTTACTTACAGAAAAATGACAAATGTTCATTGTACTAGGTTGGTCTTTATGACTGTTTTTGGAGTGAGAGTTTAAAAACAAAAAAGAAACCGGGCTTGGTGGCTCAGACTGTAATCCCGCGCCTTGGGCGGCTGAGGTGAATGGATTGCCTGAGCCCACGGGTTTGAGACCCACCTGGGCAACTTGGCGAGACCTCATCTCTACAATAAATCAAAAAAAAATTAGCCGGGTGTGGTAGTGCGCACCTATAGTTCCAGCTACTTGGAAGGCTGAGGCGGAAGGATCACCGGAGCCCAGCGGGTTGAGGCTGCGGTGGCCGAGAGCGTCCACTGCACTCCAGTCTGGGTGACAGAGTGAGACTCCAACTCAAAAATAAATAAATAAAATAAAATAAATAAAAACAAAAAAGAAATACTCTCTTGGTCAGAAATGGATTTTTAGATTCCAGTCAGGATGCAATTTATTAAGTAAGCGATTACATGTACCAGAGTTGCCTGGATTTGAACACAGGGTTGCTGGGGGATTGGGTGTGTGTATCTGTGACCGTGTCCCCTTTAGGAGGGACATACTGCGTGGGGTGGCCTGCAGACACACGCACAATGCATCCCTGGGAATCGGAGCTTGCAAACACAGAACAATAACTTGAAGTCTGAAAAAGGGGCCCAGGGTGAAGTGTTAGCAGGTCACAGGTTGTCTCACTTCAGGAACAGGAATAGGGGGACCTGGATTCCGGGACCCTTGTTCACACGTCGCCGAGAGAGCCCCTCACTTGTGGAGCTGTGGCCATAATTGTCAAGACAGGGCATCCCCACACACCGAGGAAAACTTTAGGACTTTAGGGATACTATTGAATAACAAAATCCAGTGACGTTCCTCCCTCGGGACCCCATCACCCATGCTCAAGGACAGCTAGCCAGGACCTGGGTTGGAAGGAGCAGCGTGAGATTTGTAACTGTCTTCAGGGGTGATTTCAATTCTGAATCAAGAGAGCCTTTTCTACCTTGCCTTCCCTTATCTGTTTCCTCTCCCCTCCCTTCTTCACTCCCTCCTGACTCCCTCCTATTTTTGTTTGTTTGTTTGTTTGTTTTAATGATGCGGTATATGGTATATCGATCAGCCAAACTAGAGTGCTTTAGACTGTGTTTGAAAGCAGTGTTCAGGGCTGGGCGCAGTGACTCAGGCCTATAATCCCAGCACTTTGGGAGACCGAGGTGAGAGGATTGCCTGAGCCCAGGGGTTCAAGACTAGCCCAGGCAACTTGGTAAGACCTCATCTCTACAATAAATTAAGAAAAATTAGCTGGGCATGGTGGTGCACACCTGTAGCTCCAGCTACTTGGAAGGCTGAGGCGGAAGGATTGCCTGAGCCCAGCAGATCGAGGCTGCGGTGACCGCGAGCGTGCCACTGCACTCCAGCCTGGGTGACAGAGTGAGACTAATGGAAAAAAAAGAAAGAAAGAAAACAGCGCACTGTTCATCCAGCAAGGTTGAATGAGCACACGCCTGTGAGACTCCCACCAGGTCGGGATCATGGCCAGCTACCCTCACCCAGCCGCCTCCCCAACACAACCCTCACCCTGACTTCTAACACCGTAGATCAACCACACTACAGAGGATGCCCCCCAAAATATATACATTTTAAGCAAGAAAAACTATTGAAATTGTCATACTCAGCCGAGCTCGGTGGCTCAGCCTGTAATCCCGCACCTTGGGAGACAGAGGTGAGTGGATTGCCTGAGCCCGCTGGTTCAAGATCCGCCTGGGCAACTTGGTGAGACCTCATCTCTACAATAAATCAAAAAATGAGCCGGGTGTGGTAGCATGTGCCTGTAGTTCCAGCTACTTGGAAGGCTGAGGCGGAAGGATTGCCGGAGCCCAGCAGGTCGAGGCTGCGGTGGCTGGGAGCGGCCACTGCACTCCAGTCTGGGTGACAGAGTGAGACTCTAACTCAAAAAATAAAAAAAATAAAAAAATAAAATGGTAATAATAATTAAATAAATAAATAAATAACTGTATTGAAATTGTCATAATATATACCGATAAAAGATGAACAAGTCACCTTTGACTTCAGCAATGATAGGAGGTGCTCAAAGTGGTTCCCATCCGTATCCAGACACTTCTGATAATGGCAAGGGACTGCAGGCCTTGTTGCTGGGTGAGGGCTCCTGGTCTTCCCTTGTGCACATCACACACAGGACCAGGCGTCTCACACTCATCACGCATGTGTGCAGTTATCAGGCATGTTGGAAGTTCTGTGGCATACTCACACCTCCATTGTCATTGTTCTCCCACAATGTTCTCGAATTTCAAATACCACTTCAAAATGGCCCTGCACTCCTCGAATGACAACCACGCTTCCACCATTTTTTTTTTCTTTTTTGAGTTGGGGTCTCACTCTGTCGCCCATGCTGAAGTGCAGTGGCACACTCACGGCCACTCCAGCATTGACTCTCTGGGCTCAAGTGATTCTTCCACCTCAGCCTTCCGAGTAGCCAGAACTACAGGCGCGCGCGCTACCATACCTGGCTAATTTTTTGATTTTTATTGTAGAGATGAGGTCTCACCAAATTGCCCAGGCTGTTCTCGCATCGCAGGCTCAGACAATGCACTTACCTCGGCCTCCCAAAGTACTAGGATTACAGGCTTGAGCCACCGTGCCCAGGCCCCGCCCCCCTTTTTTTTTTACTGTCCTGCCTGTCTCATGGTGACATTGGCATTCATTTGATGAACGTCATCTTTTGAGCAAATGTCATACTACACATTGCCACTGCCATTCAATTCAACTTTGAAAAGTAATACACAGATAACAGCTCTTAAAATGTGCGTACATTTTTTTGACACCCACCAGTATTTCTTTTCATCAACAGCACGTAGGTGTGCAGAACCTCATGAAAAAGGTCAGGCTGCACTCACAGCTATAGGACCGTGCACCTACGGTATACACACTTCGCTGTATCTGTTATAGATCAGGACACGTTTAGTTCACTAAGAAAAAAAGGGCCGGGCTCGGTGGCTCAGCTTGTAATCCCGCGCCTTTGGGAGGCTGAGGTGAGTGGATTGCCTGAGCCTGCGGGTTTGAGACTCGCCTGGGCAACTTGGCGAGACCTCATCTCTACAAAAAATCAAAAATTAGACGGGCATGGTAGCGTGCGCCTGTCGTTCCAGCTACTTGGAAGGCTGAAGTGGAAGGATGGCCGGAGCCTAGCAGGTCGAGGCTGCGGTGGCCGGGAGCGGCCACTGCACTCGTCTGGGCGACAGAGTGAGACTCCAATTCAAAAAAAAGAAAAGAAAAAAAGGAAGGGAGAAGAAATATTCAGGTTAAAAGAAAACCCAGCTTTTCCCATCAACCTGGGAATACCAGGTTAAGTCTACATGCAACTCTGACAAGGTCCCACAGCTCCTGTGCGTGGCCTCGATCACACCGTAGCTCAGATGCCAGGAATTTCCATGTTGAAACATCTGGCTCGTGTACCTTTTTTTGGTGCTGGCATTGCTTGAAAGCCCCTTTTTAATTTGCTACAAATGTTCAGAAATAAACATGTTGGTGTCACATCAATTTCCTATTTAAAAGCGTAGGAAGTTGAGAAGCGATTCCAAGACCTCCAGCTTTGACGATGTAATGACTTTTAAACTTCTTGCAAAGTTCCAGGGAAATCTCTCACCCTCCCCAGCCAGTGTTGTTCTACCCATCAGCAAGGGTTTTCCTACCCTCAGGTGGATGGTAACGTTAGAAGCAGGTGAGTGAGGTTTCTCACCACCTTATGGTTCACCAGCTCTCACCTTTTGTGAGAGCAGTACCTTAAAGCTGAAATTTTTTTCTATAAAGGGCCAGATAGTAACATGTTTAAGCTGTGCAGGTCACGTGGCCTCTTGCAGCTACTAAAGCAGCCACAGTGTGTCAGCAAATGGGCATGACCATGTTTACAAAATTAAGGGCCGGACATGGTGGCACACACCTGTAATCCCAGCACTTTGGGATGCCAAAGCAGAAGGATTGCTTGAGCCCAGGAGTTTGGTGCCAGACTAGATAACATAGCAAGACCTCGTCTCTATTTAAAAAAAAAAAAAAATTAGCCAGGTGTGGTGGTGCACACCTTTAGTCCCAGTTACTCAGGAGGCTGAGGCAGAAGGATCATCTGAGCCCAGAAAGTCGAGGCTGTGGTGAGCCATGATCGTGCACTCCAGCCTGGGCAACAGAGTGATACCCTGACTCAAAAACTAAATACATGCCAGGCTCGGTGGCTCAGCCTTAATCCCGCACCTTTGGGAGGCTGAGATGAGTGGATTGCCTGAGCCCGCGGGTTCGAGACCCACCTGGGCAACGAGACCTCATCTTTACAATAAATCAAAAAATCAGCCGGGCATGGTAGTACATGCCTGTAATTCCGGCTACTTGGAAGGCTGAGGCGGAAGGATCACCGGAGCCCAGCAGGTCGAGGCTGCAGTGGCCGGAAGCAGCCACTGCACTCCAGTCTGGGCGACAGAGTGAGACTCCAACTCAAAAACAAACAAACAAAAAAACCCAAAAACTAAAACTAAATACATGAGTAGCAGGTCAGATGTGACCAGGGGCTATAGTCTGCTGACCAGTTTTGGAGTCCTGAAAAAAGTATTTTGGGGCATCTACTTGATATGGGGGTGGGGGAGTTTCACGTTTTAATTTTATTATCTATATCATAATAAAATAATTTTTTACATAAAGTCAAAATGATTTTGCTGTGATACATGGGATTTGAAAATATCTTCATAGGTCTGGCTCAGTGACTTAGCCTGTAATCCCAGCACTTTGGGAGATCGAAGCAAGTGGATTGTCTGAGGCTGCGGGTTTGCAACCAGCCCAGGGAACTTGGCAAGACCTTGTCTCTACAATAAATAAATAAATAATGAGAATTAGCTGGGTGTGGTAGCACGTGCCTGTAGTTCCAGTTACTTGGAAGGTTGAAGTGGAAGGATTGCCGGAGCCCAGCAGGTCAACACTGGGTGGCCGTGAGCGTGCCATTGCATTCCAGCCTGGGTGACAGAGTGAGACTCCAACTCAAAAAGAAAAATCTTCATAGATGAAGACCTTTTTTTTGCTTAAAGATACAATTCAGAGTTATAATTAAAGGTACAATTCAGAATTAGGTACACAAGTGGTCATCGTACAGGTGGAATTTGGGTCTCCCATTGTTTTTTTTAAATGCCAATATTCCTTAAACTGGATATCTACTGTCTCTTTTTTTTTTTTCTTTTTTAAGAGACAAAGTCTTGCTATGTTGCCCAGGCTGGTTTTGACCTCCTGGGCTTAAGGGCTCCCATCTCAGCCTCCTGGGACGACAGATGCTGTCACACTGTTGATGACCTGTGGTTATTTTTTTCCCCCTTAAAATTTTTAAATGGGTCTGTCATGGATGTGTTAACTCAATTTTTAAAACACCAAGTGAGACGGGTTGGACCTGCATAAGCGGCGATCCTTGGCCGCCCTCTGCAGCTCTACTGAAGAATGACTTCAAAGGCCAGATACGGAGAAAGTTCTGCCATCGTTTATTTTTTGGAAGCCAGATTGCTGTGCGGTCAAAGAGGAGAAGAGAGGCCACATCGCCATGTGCTTGGGTCACCGTGGGTTCTTACATGCAACTTCCCTTTCTAGAATAAGAACCAGCACCCTTGCTGCCTGGGTAAATGGTTTTATGTGACTAAAGCTCCAGAAACCAGCTCTGAATCAGTTTGAAGGCATCCAACCTACAGGAGTCGAATAAGGGCTTCTTTGTTTCCTTAGAAAAGGACTTGTTTCCTCATTTATCAGGATGTTGTGAGGCCTTTTACTGCTTTTACACTTTGATCCCCTGAGAGCCCTTTGCTTGGTCTCTTTCCATGGCGAAAATAAACAAACAGACTTCACAGGGGAAGGCCAGCCAGACTCCTCAGGTCCCGTGGACTCCAACTGAAAAAGCACTGCCCCCAGCTGGTACCTAGCAAATACATGGGTAGCAGGCCAGATGTGACCCAGGGGCTGTAGCCTGCTCACCTGTTTTGGAGTCCTGAAGAATGTCACTCTTTCTTATATTCGTCCTAATCCTGCAAATTCAGGAACTTTGGAATTTTGGATGGACACTTTCAATAATTAAGAGAAGCCAGAGCCGAGCTCGATGGCTCACTCTGTAATCCCGCACTTTGGGAGACTGAGGTGAGTGGATTGCCTGAGCCCATGGGTTCGAGCCCCGCCTGGGCAACTTGACGAGATGTCATCTCTACAATAAATCAAAAAATCAGCCGGGCATGGTAGCGCATGCCTGTAATTCCGGCTACTCGGAAGGCTGAGGCGGAAGGATCGCCGGAGCCCAGCAGGTCGAGGCTGTGGTGGCTGGGAGCATGCCACTGCACTCCAGCCTGGGTGACAGAGTGAGATTCCAACTCAAAAAAATAAAAGAGAAGCCGGTCGTGGTGACTCAAGTCTGTCATCCCAGCACTGTGGGAGGCGGAGGTGAGAGGATTACCTGAGTCCAGGGGTTCGAACCAGCCCGGGCAACTTGGTGAGACCTGGTCTCTACAATAAATTTTTAAAAAGTAACCGGGCGTGATGGTACTGTGGTTCCAGCTACTTGAAAGGCTGAGGTGGAAGGATAGCCTGAGCCCGAGCTGGTTTCACTGCATTCCGGCCTGGGAGACAGAGTGAGACTCCTATTCAATACATATATACTAATAATGACTAAATAAATAAATAAGATAAATAGTAATAATGAAGAGCAAACAACCTGGGCAATATAGCAGCCCCGTCTCTACAAAAAGAAAAATCAAAAAATTAGCCAGGCTTGGTGGCACACTGCCTGTATTCCTAGCTGCTCAGGGAGGCTGAGGCAGAAGGATCACTTGAGCCTAGGAGTTCAAAGCTGCAGTGAACTAGGACCATGCTACTGCACTCCAACTGGGGCAACAGAGCAAGACCCTGTTCCCATCTCTACAAAAAAACAAAAACCACTCCTGCTTTCTTACTGTATGTAATTTTGAGACAGAGCATCATCATAATTCAAGATGCAGGGCCAATCTGCACATTTGTTATATTTTATGCTTTATTTGGTTGTATTGTGCATCACTTTACAGGAGTACCTGAGTTTGGGTAACTTAAGAAAAGTGGTATATGGGCTCATGGTTCTGCCTGGCACTAGCCTCTGCTCGGCTTCTGGTGAGGTCTCAGGGAGCTTTTCCTTGTGAGGGAAGATGAGGGTGGTGTGTCACATGGTACAGAGGAAGTAAGAGAGAGAGAAGGGAGGTGCCAGGCCCTTTTTTTTTTTCAGTCGGAATCTTACTCTGTCATCCAGGATGGAGTGCAGTGGCACGCTCCCGGCCACCTAAGCCTTGACCTGCAGGGCTCAGGCGACCCTTCCGCCTCAGTCTTCCAAGTAGCCAGAACTACAGGCACGCGCTACTATGCCCGGCTAATTTTTTGATTTATTGTAGAGACAGGATGTAACCATGTTGCCCAGGCTGGTCTCAAACCCACTGGCTCAGGCAGTCCTCTCACCTCGGCCTCCCAAAGTGCTGGGAAAGCCAGGTTCTTTTAAATAGCCAGCTCTCGTGTGAACTATAGAGGGAGAACTCGCTCATGACCATGAGAAAGGCGTGAAGCCATCTTTGAGGTACTCACCCTCGTGATCCAGTCACCTCCCACTAGGCCTCGCCTCCAACACTGGGGACCACACCTCAATGTGAGATCCAGAGGGGACAAACATCTAAACTCTATCAGTTTATTGTTGTTGTTGTTGTTATTTTGAGTTGGAGTCTCACTCTGTCACCCATGCTAGAGTGCAGTGGCCACTCATGGCCACCCCACCGTCAACCTGCTGGGCTCCGGCGATCTTTCCACCTCAGTCTTCCAAGTAGCCACAACTACAGGCACGTGTTACCACGCCTGGCTAATTTTTGATTTATTGTAGAGACGAGGTCTCGCCAAGTTGCCTGGGCTGGTCTCGAACCCGTGGACTCAGGCAATCCCGTCGCCTCGGTCTCCTAAAGTGCTGAGATAACAGGCTGAGCCACCCAACCAGCCAACTTTATCAGTTGTATACAGGTATATATTCAGTGTTGACTTAAATTCTGATGCTAACATCAAGGTGTCTGAAATATATGTAAATACACACGTGCATATACGAGAGGGGACCTAAAAAAACCTGGTTTGAACTATTTTTTGGTGGTCAGGTTCCTTGTGGTCCAGGCTTCCCCCGCCAGGTAAGTGTTCTAGGAATCCATTGGCAGCAGTATACCAGCTAGTGTTGTTGTAAGAGACTACCTTTGGCTTCAGTGAATTTTGGGGGGGAGATTCTTTCAACATGTTTGCCCATTTCCTGATGAATTTACTAGAACACCTGCTCACACCGTGCTGCGTGTTCAGCAGTTTTTTTTTAACCTAAAAACCTTTCCTAGTCACATGATCTCTCCCCGAGCAACTTCTTTTATTTCCCTGGATGAAAAAAGTTCTCAAAGGGAAACGTTTTTGCCATGGTCGAAGAGGTGAAACAAAAAACAGCAGAAGCACCGAAAGGCATCAAAATTGTTTTGAGCAGTGGAAAAAGTGTCTTGCATCAAACGGAGAGTATGTTGAAAGTAACTGAAGTTTAAGCATGTAAGAATAAATACGCATTTTTTTATAAATAAATTTCAGGGTTTTTGGAGTCCCCTTCGTATGTATATAGACTTTTATAAAATGAACCCTAGCCTTAATAGTAATATCGTTTTAACAGACAATGTGTGGGAGGTTGAGATTGTCTGACCTGACTGCTGCCCCTTCCTTTGCAGGCTTTTTGAATAGCTTTGAGGAGTTACAGGCCGAGGAGTGTGGCATCCTCAACGGGTGTGAGAACGGGCGCTGTGTGCGGGTCCAGGAGGGTTACACCTGTGACTGCTTTGACGGGTACCACCTGGACATGGCCAAGATGACCTGTGTTGGTAAGAAGGATGTGTGCCTCATGGGGGAAGCATTCTTCCCCTGGCATTCTCTGTGGCCAGATCTCAGTCACCTGAGTACATCGAAGATGAGTTTCAGACTGGGAGGATGAGAAGAGTCCTGGAAATGTATATTAAATGTATATGAAGGACAGTGTGCATTTACGTGACGCCACTGGACTACACACTTAAAAATGGTTAAAGTGGCAAATCTTAGCTGGGCTTGGTGGTTCAGCCTGTAATCCCGCGCCTTTGGGAGGCTGAGATGAGTAGATTGCCTGAGCCCGTGGGTTCGAGACCCACCTGGGCAGGCGAGACCTCATCTCTACAATAAATCAAAAAATTAGCCAGGCGTGGTAGCGCGCGCCTGTAATTCTGTCTACTCAGAAGGCTGAGGCGGAAGGATCGCCGGAGCCCAGGAGGTCGAGGCTGCGGTGGCCGGGAGCGGCCACTGCACTCCAGTCTGGGTGACAGAGTAAGACTCCAACTCGAAAAATAAATAAATAAATAAAGTGACAAATCTTGTGATCTGTATATTTTGCCACAATTCTTTTTAAAAAGAAGAGTTAATGTCTCATTTAAGAATCAATCAGGCCGGGCTTGGTGGCTCAGCCTGTCCTCCCACCACTTTGGGAGGCCGAGGCAAGTGGATGGCCTGAGCCTATGAGTTTGAAACCAGCCCTGGCAACTTGGTGAGACCTTGTCTCTACAATAAAAGAAAAAATTAGCTGGGTATAGTAGCAGGCGCCGTGATTCTCACTACTTGGAAGGCTGAGGTGGAAGGATTGCCAGAGCCCAGCAGGTTGATGCTGGGGTGGCCGTGAGCGTGCCACTGCACTCCAGCCTGGGTGACAGAGAGAGACTCCAACTCAAAAAAAAAAAAAAAAAAAGAAAAGAAAAGAAAGCAAAAGAATCAATCTACTAGCCAGGTGCAGTGGCTCAAGCCTGTAATCCCAGCACTTGGGGAAGCCAAGGTGAGTGGATTGCCTGAGCCCACAGGTTTGAGACCAGCCTGGGCAACATGGTAATACCTCGGCTCTACAATAAATCAAAAAATTAGCCGGGCATGGTAATGCTTACCTGTAGTTCCAGTTACTTGGAAGGCTGTGGTGAAAGGATCACCAGAACCCAGCAGGTTGACGCTGGGGTGGCCGTGAGTGTACCACTGCACTCCAACCTGGGCGACAGAGTGAGACTCTGCCTCAAAAAAAAAAAATCGATCTACTTAATGAAGATTGAAAGCAAAAAAGTCCATATAGTGTTAAATACAGAGGGAAGGTCAGAGTGTTCCAGGTAATGACTTTGACCCTTTAAAGCTGACTTTTCAACTGTGCAGCATGTAATTATTTCCCTGAACACTTGACACAGCATAAGCAAATGTAGACATCAGGAAAAAATGTAGCTTCCTATCAATCATTTTGGATAAACGTCTCCTACAATCACTCCTCAGGTTGCTCTCCCTCTTATATTGAAAAGAACAGAAAACTGCCAGGATGGTGGCTCATGCTTACAATCCCAGCACTTTGGGAGGCCGAGGCAGGAGGATTGTTTGAGCCCAGGAATTTGAGACCAGCCTGGCAAGCCTCATCTCTACAAAAAATTGGCCGGGCATGGTGGCACACGCCTGTAGTCCTAGCTACTCAGGAAGCTGAGGTGGGAGGATTGCTGGAGCCCAGGATATCGAGGTTGCAGTGGGCTGGGATCACACCACTGCACTCCAGCCTGGGTGACAGAGTGAGACCCCAACTCAGAAAAAAACCAAAACAGGAAATACAGATTTCACCTTCTGTCTAGGACTCAGTGGTGCCATCAGAGCCCATTTGCCTTCTTTGCTACAAAGCCCTTGGCTTGACTTCTTTTTTAAAGTTTTTATTCTCTTTTTCATCTCCCTCCTGTAGCAGTCCCTTTGCCTACTTGGGATTTATCCATTTTAATCTGTGGGTCTGGACAATAGGTCACCCAGGTTCTCACAGATGTTTCCAGAGCCTGTGTGGCTCTCACGTGGAAAGTTCCAAGGCTGAAACCGAAGACTTTGGAGACAAGAGGCTTCTGGCGAGCTCACTTCCTCATCTGAGTCCGCTTGACAGATCTAGCCGTCCTTCCACACACCTGCAGGAAGGAATTTAGAAGTCATACAATCCCTCCAGCTTTTTCTTATAGTTTGACCAGAAAATGCCCATGTGGTGCTAAATAACAAGGAAAGACATTCCAGAACCTCCCTGAGAATCTACCTCTGCAGTACCTAAAAAGTCATCTTCATCTTGCTTGGGATTGAAACAGACAGATTCAAATTCCTGGGCTCAAAGTTCTTATAGGTATGAGCCCCCAGCCTGGCAGTTTTCTGATCTTTTTTTTTTTTTTTTGAGTTGGAGTCTCACTCTGTCGCCCAGACTGGAGTAGCTCCCGGCCACAGCAGCCTCGACCTCCTGGGCTCCGGCGATCCTTCCGCCTTGGCCTTCCGAGTAGCTGGAACTACAGGCGTGCGC